GTTTAGAAATAATATAAAATATCAACGTTGAGTGAAGTTTGTTAATGCAAAAGAAAAATTCTTTTTCTCTTTTCAGATGAATGGCGCGCAATTAACAAAACGGAGGTAGATATTAAAACGATAACAGAAATGGCAACGGCAACCGAAATAACTTCAATAATCGTGGCCGTAGCAATTACAATAATAATAATAACAACAATGGAAACGGCAACAACGGTAGCAACTGTAAGAAAAGATTGTTGTCGCACACGCCTTCGGCATTAAACCAATTTTTACGAAGGGAAATAAAGCCGAAATCCAAGTCCATCATGACAATATTGATTTCATAAGTTCCATTGAAGAAGCCTTTGAAGTTTCGAGTTTCGTAGCACAACGATTTAATCAACATTCGGAAAACTTCAGCGGCTGAGAAGTTTGAGAAATGCCTTCTCAGCCCCAATTAGAGCAGTACCTATTTATAAGCAAATACATTTAAGCCGTGTCGTGTCAAAACTTGTTTTTCCCGGAGATTCATCCGCGTATTGGGAAATAAACACTACAAAAATCAGAATTCCACGGAATGAATCAACTTTATTACAGCGTTTTATTTTCGAGATAGGCAGGTTTCCGTTGTTTGTTGCATGCAAACGTTGTAAGCGCACATATATTCATGCGCGTATGGAGAAGATTAGCGTAATGAAATGCATTTGGATGCGGGAAAAAAATAGGCCAATTAAATAAGAAGGTCGTTTTTTTTTAATTTTACGTTTAAATGTAAAATGAAAACTCGAATATAATAGATTTTTGGACTCAATTTTTCTAATCTTCTATTGTGCAAAACGAATACAAGTAGAAATTAGTTTTTCACCCAATTTAGTGGTTAGGCAGATTTATTGATTTCATTTAATGATAGATAGCCCAAATTTTCGCACATTCAAAACCTCAAATGTTGAAACTTATGCGTTCTGGACTGAGATTCTAAGACATTCAACCAAAATCATTTGGAATTATTTTTTCCATAATTAAAACTATTTTGGAGTGAAAGAGAGTCGGATTCCACTATTTCTCAACATTCCAGCGGTACACCCATCACTACTTAGCTGCTACGGGAGGATCACACGCAACTCTTGAAGGCGGTCCCGAACCAGGCAAGTTATTTTTTTTTATCTTTCTACTATCAAATCTGTTCATCAATTTTGTACTTCCTTTCTTCCCGTATCAACATTGGACATGCCAAATTGTAGGCGGGCCGCCGAGAACAGCGGGCATTGGCCCGGGCCGAGGCTGAACGAGTTGTCAAGTAAGTGTTTGAAAGAGAGCTGATTCATTTTTACTTTTTTATTTTCTTTCCGTCCTTGAATAAAATTTGATTCTGATTTTGTTTTCATTTCAGAGGCGACGGACCCCGTGACAGCCCGGAATCGCCAGATGAGGGTGATTGACGTCGATATCCTTACAATAGTACCAACATCAAATGTTTACACACCATTGACAAAACAAACTCTCTCTCAAAGTGGAATGAAGTGGAAATGACCAAAGTCTGTCTAAAAATGTTTTTTCCATTTTTCTCTTTATTGCTTTCCTTTCTTTGTCTATTGATTTCAGGAATGAAGACGGAAAAATGTAAGTTTTCTTTTCTGTTTGGGAATAAGCATGAAGGTAAGTTTGATTTTTTGGTTTGCTTGGGAGTTTAAATGAAGGTAAGTCTTCTTTTTTGCTTGGGAATTGAAATGAAGGTAAGTTCACTTTTTTGCTTGGAAATTGTAATGAAGGCAAGTTTTGACCCGAAATGTGAAAGAAAAGGTAAGTTTTGACCCGAAATGTGAAAGAAAAGGTACGTATTGACTTTCCGAACTTGAAAAGAAAATGGTGAACATCCGCTCTCTGCTTGGTTGAAAAATGGTAAGTATGAATTTTAGGAACCAAGAAAGGTAAGTTGTGGCTTTCTCGATTTGAAACAAGGGTAAGCTGTGTGTTTTTCCGAAATTTAGGCAAGTATTGCCTTTTTGAATTAAGGTATGGTAAGCATTAGCCTTTGAACTGAGTAAATGGTAAGTATCTGTTTTCCGTTGAGGAAAACCAGGTTTGTATACGACGAACGCATTCACGTCGCTTCTTCTTCTTCTTCCTCTGCTCGGGTGATTCCTTCTCAGCTCACGGTATCGTACGTTGTTGTTGAAGCTTTCTTCGGCACTCATTAAACTTCACTTTAATTTACTGATATTGGACTACGGTTTTTTAATTTTTTATTTTTTCACAGATATTCTATTTGAATGATTTATTTTTTACGTTCGCGATTTTATGTTTATGACAAATTTTTTATTTAGACACCAGAATTTTGTGGCAACGATTTATTAATTTTTTACACGCATTTTACGACCTTGTTTTTTCTTTTCAATATGGACCCTAGAACCCACACTGTATCGGTTGAATCAGCAGCTGCTGAACCAGATGAAGGCAAGATCAGATTAAACTGCTGGATATTTGTAAGAATAGTGGAAATGATTGGTGAACGTCACTATCACGCAGTGCACGTAGATGCCGAGTCCATTAATGCGTATCATTTGAGAGCAGGACAGATGAGGCCGGTGCCGGAAACAGAGCCTTTTCTAGACGGTATGACAATTTTTTTGTTTTTAAAACAATAAATTTTTTCAATTTTTTTCTTTTTTTTCCTTTTTTTTCAGGGGAGTACGCATATTTAAATCTTTACGTGCACCTGCCGAAAGATATTGATTATTGATGCGATTCGTGAGAAAAAATTATTTTATTTGGCAACCCGAGAAAAATTTTGAAATTAGCAACAGTCTTTTTCCTTTTTTGATTTTATTTTAACTTAAATTAATGAAGTCACAAATTCTTATGTTCGCAGCGCAAAATGTAGTGGTTTCAGTTGGAATGGAGCGAGTTAGGGCGATAATTTATGATAAAGTGATCGATTTAAAAGACTTCAGTGATTTATTACAGCGTTTTAATGTATTTATTGATCACGGAGGACGATAGTCCGACAAGTGACGCACCATAGACTGTGCATTTCAAGCCAAATATCAAAAATGCCAGTTTTTGCGTCACGAGTATATATACAGTAAATGTGTTATTTTCTCAGGACACTATTTGGGCCCCGGCATGTTAGGTACCGTTGGAAAGTTCTTGGCCCAAATAGTCGGAAACATCATATCCCCTATGCCTAAAGTGTGGTCTAGGCAAAAATATAGTGGTTGGAAAATTTCGATAAATTTTCAAATCTATACCCATATCTTACGAAGGGGGTACCCAGGGGGTGGTCTAAGGTGTCCAAGAGAAGCTCCTCCTCGCCACCTTTCCAACGCCGGGCATTGGCAGTTTGATCTTGATTTTTTATGAAAGTATTGATTTGTGCGTCCGTTCGTTCGTCCGTTCGTGTGTCCGGAAACTTTTTTGGCCCCCACAGATTCCGGTGCCGATATATTTATTTCGCACACTAGATCAACTCAGACACCCATCGGGCAAAGTCAGCTCGTAATTATTTGAGAAGACCTTCAAAAAGTTCCATACACACATGCCAATGTTTATGTGATATAAAAGAAAAAAGTCGATTTTTATGAAAAATCGACCCCCTTAAATTTCAGACCAAACGCGATTTCTCAAAAATCAGCCCGACAATCTTTTACCAAAAACTGAGCGTTTGTAGCCGGCTACCGTACCAACAAAATGGCATATGCCACATATCCGGGAAAATTCGTTTTTCGAAGTTCTGCAGCCCATTTCACCAAATGTTTTCATGAAAAGTTTTCATGAGATTTTCTTCACAAGTTTTTTTGGTGAAACAAATGTATCTTAATGTAGCAATGAGAAAATCTCAATAGAAACGTGAATATATTCTCATTTTTTTGACATTATTTTGAGCGCAAATTTTAAATTTTCATTTATTTTTGAGCCAACCATGATGTGATCCCACATTTTTGAGAAAAAATCTCGAAATTTCAAGTTGGCGCTCAAAATAATGTCAAAAAATGAGAATATTTTCACGGTTTTATTGAGATTTTCTCATTGCTACATTTAGATATATTTGTTTGACCAAAAAAACTTGAGAGGAAAATCTCATGAAAACTTGTCATGAAAACTTGTCATGAAAACATTTGGTGAAATAGGCTACTGATCATAGGCAATTTATCAATGAACGGAATTTTTACGAAGAGTCGCATTCTACGATGAAATTGCTGCCAAAAATACGCATCTACTGTCTGAAAAAAGGCTCACGAAAGACCATATCCGCTTAATTTTCGACGAGCAATCGATTAAAAGTGGTCACAATGCGATCTGAGGCCATTTCATGGTCGAAAAATAGGTCGGATTGAAGTGAATTTTTCAACTTGCTCTATTTTCACTGAAAATGACATTTTTGTTAGGAAAACACGTTTTTTCGTGAAAATAATGGGAGTCCACGAACACTTGAATATCCATTTCGTTGTCATTTTGGTCATAAATCGGCATTTTGGCATCTGAATGTATGAAATTGAACTTTTGCTCGGGGATACATAAAAAATGCACTTTCCAGAGCTTTGGTGGTTGGGAACTAATATTTTTTAATGAAATAATGAGAATCCACAATCGTTTCAACACTCTGTTTATGGTTTTTTTGAAATTTAATCATATTTTACCGCATTTTATAATGTGCAATTAGAGGAAATTGGGACTTTTTCAATGGTAGTGGAAATTATATAGTGCAATCTCCAGAACTCGTGAAATTAGAATGCCAATGTGTTACCCAGAAAATTGCAATTTTCTGATAATAAAACTTTAAAATAGACATACTTCTGGTAAAAATGTATTTTTCCAAAAAAAAGCCTCACAAAAGTAGTGATATCAGATGAAAAAATGGATGGACGCTAAATTTTTTCTTTACATGTTAGGAATATTTTCGGAATTTTAAACAATCAAATTTACGAGATTTTGCTCATTTCAGCTAAAAAATTTGTCGTTCGGTAAGTAAAAGTGATTGCAAAACGATTAGGCTCAATTTTAATTTTTTTTTTTTTTATTACAGCGTTTTAATGTATTTATTGATTATGATTTGCACAACTGATCGCTTTGACTGCCTAACTACAACTCAACTTAACTTAGCGTGCGTACGATGTATATCGTAAGCTCTTGGTAACAATTAGAGTGTAAGAATGTATTGAGTGAATGTATGAAAAGAGTGAAAGTGGATAGCGTGAATGAGTAGTATAAATGAGAGTGGATAGCATAACTGTAGGCTATATGTTAATGGTAAGCTTATTGATAGACTAACTGGCACTTCATTATTGTCCGCTTCGGATAAACTATTTTCAGTTTTATTTTCGTCCGTAAGGGTGCAGTCACACTAGGAAACATTTTACTGGAAACATGGAAACAAATTTTCGCAAATGTATGAAAAAAAAGATGCTGGAAACAAACACTTTTTTTTCCCATACATTTGCGAAAATTTGTTTCCATGTTTCCAGTAAAATGTTTCCTAGTGTGACTGCACCCTAACAACGACATTCACCACGGGCTGTTCACCAGCATTCCGACCGTGTTGTTCGATTTGAGCGAAGAATTTGTTGATTTCTGCAAAAGTAACACAATTATCAGCAACTAGTTAATGTAATCAATTTGATTGTTTGCAAAAACAAAACGGAAAGTTCTGTGTGGAAATTTTCATTTGAAAAACAATTTGAAATTACTTACGATCACGAATTGATCCCAAGAAATCTTTCAGTGCTTGAATGTTGCGGTCGCGGGCGTCCTTCTCAGCATTAAGATTAGACACACTTTCGATGTGTGAATCGTCACATTTGGCCATGACTTCAGGCTTGGCATTCATTTCATCCAGTTCATCGGCCATACTCAAACATCTGTTTTCGTATTCGCCACGAACTACTGCCAACTTCTGAATCAAAAATTCAGCTTCAGTTCTTTCGTCGATGTGATTACTTTGCATTGCACTTGTTTCGAGTAGAATCGACATTGCCTTGTTTTCAGCGTTCATCTGATGTTTGTCTGCCATTTCTAAACATGTAAAAGAAACAAACGAAAGAAAAAATTATATAACACGACATATATTTGATGAATCGATGTGTTAGAAAAAAAAATTCAATTCAATTGAACTTGAAAATATTCTGAAAAAATGCAAACCAATATAGGAAAAGCATGATTAAGTGGAAAAACTTGAAAATACCCAATTTTGAGACGAATGAAACAAAAATATTCAATCAGTTGAAATGAACTAAAACGATTTGTTCTCCAATGTCAAGAGTATGTCAAACAAGATCTATATCAATCAGCACATCAGCGGTCACCATAGAAATACACACAGACATACAAAGTGAATGAGTCCAGTGTTCGGGTTTTGCCGCCAATTGTATTACCGCTGTTTCATATTCACATTTCATACACCAGCTACGTTTCAGACACTGTGTATGTGTGTGTATCGATGTGTATTCAATTCGTCTCTCGCATTCTCTTTCTATGTTGCGATGCAAGTGAGCACATACTTTGTTTTTGTTTCTTCTTCTGAGCTCTTTTCTCAAGGAAGAGAACTATGAATTTGTGCGAAGGCGCTAAATTGAAAATATTGACTGTGAAAATGCTATGAGTGGAGATAAGATGACGATGTATGCATATAGTCATATGACGTTTCTCTATGATGTTGCAGCTAATAAATTATTTAAAATTTATGTCCAAAGCAGAAATGTAATTGAAAATATAGACTGAATGATTTTTCCTGAGATTCATTTTGTTTGAAACATCTCACCCGTATACACGTCTACGACTATCTTTCCCTGATTTAAATAGAAAATTTAGTTTGAACTACATTTTTCTCAAAAAAAAAACACTCATTCAAGATTGATATTAGCAGTATGATATGCGATACTATGTCGTTGGGGACGATATGGAGTTAATTGAATTTTTTTTATATCTAAAATAGAAAACAGTTAGCGATTAAGGAACTTAGTTTTTATAGTAAAATGTTCAGTTGGATTATTTCGAGCTTCTTCATCGTTTCGATGATTTCGATAAGAGGGGTCCACACGGCATTCTTGTTTTCGCGAAAGTTAGAACAACCATTGAAGTTTTCAGAGAGAGTGCTGAAAAGTCAGAAGCGGATGAAAAAAGCTATAATTCAACGCTGTTTTTGTGCAATTTGGGAAATTTCTGCCTCATATCTGGGTATAAATCGCTTTCGACTCCTGCCGAAGTTTTATAAACTCAACTGAGAAATGTATTGAATGCTGTACAAGCGACCAAATGTCTCAAATGTCAAAAGTGAATGTTTTATGGCTGATAACACATCTACTTTCGGAGACCTTTCGAACAATACTTATGACATCCAAATCGGTTGAGTGTAAATTAGTCAAATTGGTACCAACATTTTGCCTGCTGTAGATTAATATATAAGATATATTTTCAGTAACAAGAAGATATTTTCGGTAGATTTTCCGTTGTTTTTAGTACTTTAAGTAAATTCAGTAGTGATTGGCCCCTCGAACGTGTCACCGGTGAATATTTCAAGTGGAAATACGATACAGTCACTGCACACCGTGGCAGCAATATACCACTAGCGACATCTTGTTGCACGCTATAGTAATGCCCTTTATGTTTGTATACACTTGACGTTAATTTCAACACATTACTATAGTGGGCAATAAGGTGTCGCTTGTGGTATATTGCTCTTTGCTGCCACGGTGTGAGTTACTGCTAATATCGAAGGATTTTTCAATGGTATTCACATCAACTGCAAACAAATGAATGGACTCAGCCCATTTGTCATACGATTCAAAACAAAGCAGTCAAACAAATGGAATTCCGCTCTGTTGATTTCAATCGTTTGAATTTCGAGTTGATCGAGAATCTTCTGATAACGACATATGCGGATGCAACATAGAAGAATGGACATTCGATGAAATCATCAAACACCTCTTTGATAAACACACCGGCTTCTACTACATATGCACATGGAGGGATCAATTCATGTGGGGATTAGATAGAGCACGCCGGAAGATGCACATAAGATACTCGCTGCTGCGAAGCTTGTGGATATGGACCAAGCGAATGCGATAGATTCCTAGATGAAGATGGATATTGGAATGACAATTTTTCGGATAAAAATATGTCTGTACTAGCGGTTCTCTTCGTGCTTCGCTATGCGCACTCGTATGTTATATTTAAGGTTTCAATTTATTGCTTGGGTTACATTGTAAAAAGACATAACATTGCGTAGCAAAGCAAAAAATTGTCTCTTTTTGTTTCGTCGAGTAAACAATAACATCAGCAGAGTTCATTCAATGCATTCTTTTGCATGCCCATGCATACACGCGTATGCGTGTATTCATAAACAACCGACTGTACGACTGATCGAAAATATTTTTTTTCGTTTCTCTTTCTCCTCTTTATCGCCTCTTTGTACGAACATAGAGTTGCTCGATGTGGAGGCAGGAAAACCAGCATGCTCATACGTTTTTTGTCCCCTTGAAGCTAATTCGACGACGCCTGGATGACATTAATGTGCAATTGTATCGATCCTTATTATGTTGGCGTCGTCCGAGTAAGAGAAAGTAAATTCTGTCAATTGCAATTGTGTTGAGTTCCTCAGTAGAAACTAAAGTGGAATTATCTAATCAAAATTTGGTTATCAAATATACGAGAAAAAAAAATTACAACAATGTCAAGTGCAAACGAAAATAATATTATTGTGGAAGTGTCTAACACTGAGACTGAAATAGTCAGAAATGGGGTAGAAATGGCCATTCTGGTGGTATGGTCGACATCTACTTACGTAGATATAATCAAGGTCGCATTCTTCGTATAGAAATACATGGGAAAGATTTGACGTAAGACGCCAAGACGCCTCTACGCGTGGAATGCTCGAAGCTGTCATCGTACACATATTGAACACGAACATTGTCGTTTACACAATCGCACTCAAACAAATGAACGCATCGATAGTGCCCGCTCAATATATGTACGATGAATGTTTTGAGTGTCCCTCGCCTAGAGGGCTGCGTGTCGCTTTTCTTCGAATTGCATCAAATGACATCATTTGACCTACCGCTAGTTCACGGTCAAGGTAAGAAAAGGAACAAGCATACCGTAGGTAACGTCATGATCAGATCGATTAGCTTGCGGTCAAGTACAAGGAAGAAAAGATACATACGGTACCGTTATGTTTCTATACGTCACCCCCACTATAGATCATTAGTGATTGAAATTTTGCTACAGTATCGATAGGTCCATGAGGACATGTGTGAAGATGATGACGTAAAATGTATTCTTATCAAAGGAGAATATAAGATTGGAGATTTGACATCCAAATGGCGTTGTTTAAGCCTAAATAAAGTATGCATTGAAAATGAAGAGCTAGAGGAGCTTTGGTTTGGAGAAGGAGCAGGTATAGCGTAACAATGAATGAACTCATAATTTCATGATTAAATACAAAACCTCCTTTAAAATTTACAAATCGCCAATAAAAATGACAAAACGGCAATAAAATTTACAAAAAAATTCAACAAAATTGACAACAAATCGAAATAAATGTAACAAAACAATCAATAAAATTAACATTACGTTCAATGAAATTGCCAGATTGAGAAAATAACTTTGACAATATAGGCAATAGAATTGCCAAATTAGAAAATAAATCTGACAAAATGGGTATAAAATTGACATTTTTTGCAATAAATTTGACAATAGCAAGCACCAAATAGATAAATTTACGTCAAATTTATTGCAAAAAATGTCAATTTTATAACCATTTCGTCAGATTTATTTTCTAATTTGACAATTCTATTGCCTATATTGTCAAAATTATTTTCTCAATCTGGCAATTTCATTGAACGTAATGTTAATTTTATTGTTTGTTTTGTTACATTTATTTCGATTTGTTGTCAATTTTGTTGAATTTTTTTGTCAATTTTATTGCCGTTTTGTCATTTTTATTGGCGATTTGTAAATTTTAAAGGAGGATCCGTAATGAGCCAAGCATTTATTGCTCTCCCTCACGTAAACGCCATCTATTCGGTGCGAACATGAAAACAAACAAAGTGACTCCAGCTGCCAACCGATATATGAATCGGTGGAAATGAAGGCAGTGTATAAAAAAATAAGCCGAACAAAACGAACCACAGCGTTTCCTCTATATAGAGATGTTGTTGTATTATAACTCTGTATGGATCAATTTGTTTGTTTTCATGTTCAAACTGAACAGATGGCGATCGCATTAGGTAGGGCAATAAATGCTTTTGCACTAACCGTATGGTGAAATTTATTCAAATACACACAGTGTATGTGTTATGCTTGTATCGCCTCCTTCGTTCCGAATTATTCGTTAGAAAACGTCACCCCCCGTCCGAAAGGAGAGACAAAAATCGCAGTAACATTTGACATCGATGTCAACAACATATTGAAAGTCACCGCCACTGATGTTGATGATACCGATAAGTCAAATGGAATAACAATTACTGTAGAAAAGCGCTTTACCGATGATCAGATAGAGGAAATGGTTGAACGGGCCAAACAATTGCGCGAGGAATTGGTAAAATCACACATGTGTGAAACTTCAGACAATAGGATGTGCATTGATATTCTCTTTTGCTTTTGTTTTTGTTAATTAATTTTTTAAATGCGAATTTAAATTTGTTTTCGCGTTTTTCCAAATATTCTTTGATCAGCTTATGGTTAACAACATATGATTCATTCTCTATAATATTATACTGTTCCATATTTTTATTTTCAACTCTCGCTCACGCTTTCACAATAGGGATTGAACTTGCAATTCGTATCTGAAAAGGTCGGAAAATCAAAAGAATAATGAGAATTTCAAAGAAGCTTGAGGTGATTATTGACTTCTTAGGCCCTATTTCTAATTAGTTATGTATTTCGATTTCTAGATTCACCACTTCTTCCAATCTTGCCAACTCAAGGGGACTTAAGGATTTTCCATTCTCACTGAGCATTTCCACATATGCATCCCATTAGTAATAACATATTTTAAGTTTGACATGTCAACTTCCATTTTCAATGAATATAAATTACTTTCCCCTTTTTAAAAAAAAAAAACTTGAAAATGTTTTGATCAGAAAGAATCGAAGAGTTTGAAAACAAAGAATGAGAGGTTAAGAATGAATAAGAGGTAACAAGTAGGTAATTTTAATTGTCTTCATCATAACACATGGATCAAAAAGTC